AAGAAAGCATGAGAAAAAGGACGAAGAGAAAAAGGAAAATAAAAAGAAAGAGCTTATGTCCATGCAAGGTGAGGTCGTTGCACTATGAAGCCTTCGACGAATACCTTTGACCCGAAGGTTCAACTGCGAAACCTTATTGAGCAATTCGATGAATAGCTCAGAGAAAGCTAAGGCGTAGATCTAAAGGAGAGAGAGAGAGGGAGAAACAGGAAGAAAAGCTGTGATGAAGAAGGGGGTAAGAAAGAAATGGAGAGCGTGAAAGGGTAAACGCCAGCTCGATAAACACAAGAATGATGGAATAAGCCGATAGCCGCACCCTGCTGGCACCGTGTTCCGGCAGGATACAGGATTTATGTTGCTGCAAGGGATCTATATCCTTCGACAAGCTAGATGAGTCCACCGATAATCTCCGCGATCCTTTACTCGTGCAACGTTTTAGAGCGTATTTTCGATCCCCAAAATGGCTTCCTTTCTGTGTTCTTTCTTGACATCAGATCTAGCACAAATACAATAAATTGAATAAATGAAGATAAATGTCAAACGACTAATCTTAAATGTTTCTAAAAACGGAAGCCATGTTAATGATTCGCGATATAAGAACTTATTTCGCTTCTCTAAGGCTAAGAAATTCCAGAACGAAGAGAGAGAGAGAAAGAGAGAGATGTGTCATCCCGTTGACGATCATAATCATTCCCTATGGGACGATTTATGAAAGTCAATGTTGACAGACTCGTAGAAGGAAGAATCGTGACTGGGCAAATGTTGGACAAAGAGTGAGAAAACAAACGCTGGATATAGACTTGATAAATAGAAGGTTAATAAAATAACTTGATGACCGTACAACAACCACGCGGTCACGTTGTTTTGTGTCCTGTCAAGAAGTGAAATTTATATCTCTCCATGGAGCATCACGTGTCCGTTTCGTTGCGTTCGCGGACTTCATCTCGTACTCGCGTTTAGCCCAGCGAATCTCGAGCAAAAATTATTTCCATGGCAATAAATTTTCCCGGCTGCTACGGCAAGATTTCTTTTATTAAAAAATTTCACAGGGATTCGGCGAAGGCGCGGCGCACGAGTATCTACGTTTATGGCCGACCTACGGGGGCCAGTGTCGCTCGTAAAAGTAATTTTATTTTTGCGCTGGAAACTTTCCCCGCCTCTCTTGAGTATCTTTTATCGCCTGTTTTACGCCAGTCGATCTACCTGCGTAAATGAATTTCGGGTGACTTAAATTTGTATCAGCTCGACTTTTTTACGAAAGTAAGATTCGTTCAAATTTTGGGAAGGAACGATTTTGCCATTGGGATAACAGAATTTGCTGCTGATATGATAAAGATTCTTTCTAAATATTTTTTATGTTATTATTTTTTTTATATGTCGGGTTTACATTAGAATTAGGGTTAGGGGCGTTTAATGAATCTTCACTGAAATTAGCCATCGGTGCGGTACAACAAAGATACAATTTATTAATACAGGTAGAGATATTACAGTGGTAACAGGTAATCGGGCCTTACGGTAAACAATGGCCTTAGGGTTGTAGCGGGAAGCGTTGTTCGTTGAAAAAAATAGATCTCCCCTATCTTCCCGTAGTTAGAACAAAGACTGTTTGTCTGTTTGAAGGACTTTAGATAACTAAATCTTAATATTTATAACGGCCCTCAGGCTAGCTGAACATGTACTGTGGAGATGCGTCGGCATCTGGTAACTATCATACCCGAAGAATAGGGTCTACGTGTGGCGAGCCACGGGACAGAAACCGTTGGAATGTTTACTGTCGCGTGCCGCTACAAGTATTTCTTCTAAGGAGAGCTATAGAATTACTCCATACCCCTGTTAGGTAAAAACGTTCGTCCCTTGACCGTGGCTACGTTTGGCGACTGGTTGTCGTCTCGAGCCCAAGCTCATTATCACAAATCTCAAACAAATACAATCGGTTTGAATGGCAACAATTGTTTAATTACACCTAAGGTAGAATTTAAATTACGGTGTTAAGGAATTTTCCCGAAGTTCCAAAGGGGAGGCTCCGATGTCCTTTCATCTCCGACATGTATATATAAAGAATATATAAAGAATAAGTTGATTAAAGTCTTGAACACAAATACAAATTTAATGTTTAATTATTGTCATTTTGTAACCTTTAACGCTCTGACTTTTAATTGTGAATATCGACCGAAAATTCCAACTTATTCTCATTATACTTCGACTTGCAAGCTTTTAACACTTAACGTACATATACTTGCTAATGTACTAACTTGTAAGTTTCGATCATTACACTTTTGTGGTAGTAAATGAGAGTACAACAGTTACATTCCATTGCAAGATTCTCAAATAATTTTGTTCTATCTCCATTTATGCATGAAGAAGCACGGAGTTTGCACAAATCTGCGAGCCGACTAGCAGCGAGTAATCGGTGAACGGCATGCAGGGTGGCCAGAACTTAAAAATTTACGCCGTGGTTCCCGAAAAAATTTGCGGTATCCAACGAGATAAATACGAGTTACCGAGCGTTTCTCCGTTTAACTCGTCCGGCGAGCTTTATCTGTCCTGGAAAAATTTACGAGCGACCGCGGTCTGAATATCGCGAGGCTTCGTTAAGCTAAATCCGCCTCTTAGAACTTTACGAGGATTCCTGCTAAAACTCCTCGGACGAAGCTCTCCCTCAGCGATTTTTGCTATCGACGATCCGGCAGACATGGAAAGACGAATGCGTCTCCACGAGGAATTTCTATAGTGAGAGAAAAGAAGATGGAGAAGATTTTGAAAATCTCTCATTAAGCCAGAAAGAGGATTTTTTGAAAGATTGGAAGTAAAACTTACTGACGAAGTGGATGTTCTCTGGACACTTGGAAGATATTTTCTGTTTTTAAAAAAGGAAAATAAGAAATATAAATTTATGCTGAATGGAGAAGTAATTGCGTACTGGAAAATTACCTGTTGCAAAGTTCTTCAGTTATTTAAAAAATGCAGGATAGCAATGCAGCAGAAGAAACGTAAATTCAATAAACAGCAGACTTGAATGTGTATTTATATGAGAGCTGCTCCTCTATCCAGACACTCGTAAAAAGACTCGTAAAGATCTTGTAAGGATATCGAAAGGACACGTTCCCCACTTATATTCGGCCTACAATTTCCGCGATAGTCAGGGAACCAAAGATCTGATAAATCTACGCAAATCTTCAAGCTACTCAAAAGTTTGAAAATGTTTCCTCACTATTCTTATAATATTTTATTATTTATTATATAGGTATTTTTCTTCGATTCTTAACAGAGATTCATTCATTTGTACGTTCCTTTGGAAATACAAAAATACTTAAAAATACTTTTTGCTACAGAAATATAAAAATAAAGAATCGAGTACATTTATGAATGATAAGAATTTTTGATGTACCAATAATTCTCCTAGAATTTCTATAATTAGTCTTTAGCCTGAAAATTACATAAAAACTTTGTTTTAAAAAATACCTATTTAAGAAAAATTGCATGTCGTTGTCCCTTCCAAAATCTAAATGCAAAGATATTTTGTTATCGAAAGTATATTTTACACGAACCTTTGTCAGAAGATTCACAAAATGTAAATTCACTAAAATACGCTTAAAAATTGACAAATGACAATCAAAAATATCACCTTTTAAGTACACGTAAGATGAAATCAAGTACATCGATCGCACAATATCTAAATTACATAATAATCAAAAACTAAATTATGATAATTAACGATCAACCTTTCAAAGTCTACAACTTAAAGCGTTCGCAATACGTTTGTCAAGCTATTAACACGTTCGTCGCCCAACGTGATTCGGCTAAGTTTCCTGCGGGGTCCAAATCCGACCGCCGGTATGCAGAACGTAAATAGAGCGACAAGCGGGAATTCATTGTTTATCGCCCTTGATTCACTGTTTATTGCTTTCGATTCATTGTAGAGAAAAGATTATTTAGTTCTGACGCGGAGAAAGCGATAAACTTTCCAGCTAGAGTATTTCGAGGGATCTCATGGCAAATATCTCAGATCTTTCATTTAGTCAAGAAGCATACTTGTGAGACGTACATCAGTGATTTTTTCATCCTCAAAATGTTCAGTAAACAGTGTGAAAATATATTTGAAGGTGAGAAGAGTAGTGATGACGGAGTCCACAACTATTGTTCGAAGTGCTCAAAATCACCCCAAATGTGTTTGGAACGTTTTAACAAATACCACGCGATGTAGCATAATGTAATATATTATCCAGAATATAAATTAATAAAAAGTATGGTGTACTATATTTTTGATATTTTTATGTTGTATATTCTATATATAATATCCTATATTTAATTAACTCGAACAAGAAGAGCGTCACCCATACTTTGTGACGGGGCCCCCACGGAAGTATACTCGTTACATAGATATGTGTGACGTGGCGACGAACGTGTTAAATTCGACAGAGATATAGAAACTTCAATGCCCAGTTCGTTCATCCATCGAGGCTACCCAACGCGACCACTCAAACAAAAAAATCGCCAACCCGTTGCAAAGTTTTCAAAGAAACTTTTCCTTGCCAGTTTCGCAGTTATCATCCATTCGCGAGCACGGAAAAGAAGAAAAACACACCTACGAACGAGCGTTGCTCGCGTTTGCTAAGCAGAATCCGACGTCCTCGTGAGGATAGTCCGGCGAAAAGTTTCTAGGAAGAGTTTCACGGACGTTTGTTGCACGCTCCATGATACGCAAGCGTCACGAGAATGGAAAAATAGGTGAGCCGGAAGGGGAATGAGAAACTTATCCAAGGACTTCCAGAAATGTAGTCTTTTTCCGACCAGGGAGAGACATCGTACGTGGTTCGTGTGTGTGAGGATGAAAGGAGGAAGAAGAGGGTAATTCTTAGCAGGAAAGAGATCGCTATTGTCGAGAAGGAGAGGAGAGACAGGGAAGCGTACACGATCTCTTGGATCCTCTAGGTCTAGATAAAGGATGTGCTCGGAACCGGGGATGCAATACTGTGATTTAATTGACTTCCACGGAGTTTATGGTGTTAGAGTTGCTTCAGGATGCTCGATTACGAGAAGCGGACCAGGCTCTTTGTCGAAAACGTATGTTTATGAAAAACTACGCGTCGCACAGGAAAGTTTGTGTCGCCATTGTGGTTGAAGTTTTTGGAAAGAATGTGGTTTATAGTGGAATGTGTATCGTATGTATTTTCGTTCCCTTCTTTTTCCTTTTTCTTTTTTTTCTTTTTTTTTTTTTTTTGAAGGTTTGATTTGCTGATTTAGAAGTTTTGTTTCAACGTACAATCTTAAAAAAAAATATATCCACACAATGCAGAAATAATGATGAAAATAGTGAGAAAAATAGTACAGGAAGTTTAAACAGCAGAAAAAAAACATCAACATTTTGACACGACGATGACGCAATCTTACTTGTACGCGATGTAGGTGAAAGTTGGATGACGATCCTCCGAAAGAGGATCTCCTTGTTCCTGTACCCTTATCATCCTCTCCCGAGACAAAGAGGGACGAGTCTCCTTTCCTCTCCTCTTCTCTCGACGCCTCTATCTCTTTGAAATCGAGGATTTCCACTCTTAAGTGTACGCTTGTGTAGAACCAGGTCGTAATTCTTTGATGGAGAGACCACCCTAAGCATTGCGAGATATGTGCCTCGCATTTTCAAAGAAACAGCCGTCGATGACGAGGAAATACCTGAACTCAGAAGGGGGAAGGATTTCCCTCTATCGAATCTTCTATGTCATAATCTGAACTCCGTTTTTTTCTATTAACTGTGCACAACATTTACGTAATGTCGATTGTACCAGAATATAAAATATATGTACATATTAAAAATTAAATTAATTCTTATAGAGCCAAACTTAATATGTGAAAAAATATACAGAAAAAACTGAAATAATCGAAAATAATTTTGAAATATATATACATATATATTTCATAAATATTATATATAATTTATATTATATTTATATTATTTATATATATATTTATATATTTATGTATATATATATATATATATATATATATATTTCTAATTATATTAGGTTAAAAGTTGGTTTCTTAAAAATTAATCTTTTTTGTAATTAAATATAGATTAATATAAATAACGATTTTCAAATTAAGGAACACTTTTCATTTCTATTAAGATTTTTCAAATTTTTGTAGGTGTTAGAACAATTAACTGGACAGCAACCAGTTTTTTCTAAAGCAAGATATACTGTGCGTTCATTTGGCATTCGCCGTAATGAAAAAATTGCAGTACATTGTACAGTACGAGGTGCTAAAGCAGAGGAAATTCTTGAACGTGGATTGAAGGTAATTCTATCACTGATAAGAATGTTTTACATTTAATTTCTTTTTAAGTGTTCAATTTTGCTTTTCCTTTTAAAGGTACGGGAATATGAATTGAGAAAAGAAAATTTCTCTGGCACTGGAAACTTCGGTTTTGGTATTCAAGAACACATTGACTTAGGAATTAAATATGATCCCAGCATTGGTATTTATGGCTTGGATTTCTATGTTGTACTTGGACGACCAGGTTAGTTTATTACCATTCACCACACCTAATTCATTAAAATAATATAAAACAATTCATCTATTATCACCTTATGAAATGAAAGAAACTTTTCGGACAATCTAATATATAATATTATATATTACATTATACATAGCATAAAATGTAAAGCTACCGACAATATAACATATGACACAAATTTTCTATTTTATAATATTAATATTTCATCCCATGTTTTTCACATAATCTTTCAATGCTATTAAAGTGAAACTTGCAAAATCTGAAAGTACGTATACCAAAGCTACTCTAAATCTCGATCGGAATCCTTTTAAAACGTGAGCAAGCAATTCAAACTAATTGTATGATAAAATTCGTGGCAATAATCTTCCCAAAATGCCAACGAATAACCAACGAGGAGGACCTGACAAAAATAAGAAACTATGGTTCGCGGAGCTCTGTCATCAGCGAGTTTATCTCCATATTAGGGAAGTATGTCGAGAAAGTGCACGTCCAAGAAGTCGATTTATTGAGGAGTCATCGCATCGGCGGCATGTTTCTTCCGGGATGCAAATTCTCTCTCCCGGAAGGAAGAACGACGTAATTGGGAGATGAACGTGTTACCCCTTACTGTCCAAGATTGATGATCGCCGCCCGACGAGAAGACGAACGGTGGTACGTCGAGAAAACTGGAGAAAACCTGGTGCGACGAAGGACGCCTCGCCTCGCTCCACCGAGCCGCGTTTTCACATCCAGCCAGAGAGAAAATTATCTAGCCGATCTGACGGCAGTCTCGTCGACTAGCTGGAAGAGTATTGCGCGTTTGAGCGCGACGTCACCTTTATTTCACGCCAACGACTGATAATTCCCGCGTGTAAACGGCCCCCGGGAATCCGCCGGGCGAAGTATTTGCCGTTCGGCGCGGCGGCAATGCGAGAAATTGCGTGTTTCGAAGTCGTTCGATGCGAGGGAGCCGAAGGACCGCAGCGTTTCACGGTATTCCTCGGGATATTTAAAGTGGGGTCGGTGCTCTTCACCGAGTAAATAGTGCGTGTCATTTTATTGAAGAACTCTTGTTGGATAAACCGAAGTGGGAACTTCCAAATGAACGAGGCGATTACTTAGAAAATAGGCATTTTCACTAATGTAGAAATGAAGATTAATGTTTGGCAAAATATTTGTTTCATCAACTTATCCTTTTTTATATCGAAGGTTTCGAAGAATTTTGAAAATTTTAGGAGAATTCATAATAAAAAAAATGTCATTAATAATGTTGGAACAAGGATAGGTGTCTTAGGCATTTTGATGAACGTTGATGTTGCCAATAAGTTAATAATAAATAATCGTTTATTTATAGAAATATATGTAGTAATTAAACTACTGATGTAGATACCATTTCCTTAATTACGTTCGTGAAAATGTGTATTTACATTGTAAAACTTAGTATTTACGCTAAATAAATAGTGAACAACAGATATTGTGAAAATCGAGGAATTGTGGTGTTCAAAGTAATTCAATGAGAAGGAGGCGAGAAAGTGTGGAGAAGCGAATACAGTTGCTGTAAGAATTAAATGTAACTAAATAAAGCCTCTTCATTTAGAAGCTGTACCTCAGTAAATTCAATTGAGAATTATGAAAATGAAGGAACGCTAAAGTTGGTGGTCCATTATCAAAAGCCTAGGCGAATTGAGAAATATACCTTGCAATCTTAATTATCTTGGTATTCTATGTAATTACTTTCATTTAGTTCATTAACTGACAACACTTATTATTTAATTTCACTCCAGAATGGGAATGAGACAAATGGGGAATTTATTTGCAAGCTTTACCTATGCTAATTAAGGTGCAGTCCTTAAAAATACAATTCTACTTGATAAGAGAAGAGGTAGGTACTAAAAATGTATAACACCGAGATGAAGAAGATCTCCTCTTCTGGCACTTACGTAGTTTGCCATTTCAGTTTCTGAATTCGTCTTCGATATCAGACCAGAGATAATTAAACGAAAACTTTGTTCATCGAGTGTCCACAGGATAACCTTGCTAACTTGAGACTGAAGCTGACCAATCTTATCTTATCTAGATGACTACGGTGATGAATAAAACAGCATGCTAACGTCAAGGAAATCATACCGACGAGTTCTTAGCTCGATTCTGTTTTTATTCTCTCTCTTGGCTCGTTCTTTGTTTTCTTTCTTTGCGTTCCTTGCATTTCACCGGCTACACTCGACCTCTCTGATCATTGGAAGCATGGAAGAGCTTTTTCCTTCGTAGCAAGCCTTCTGATCAAGGAGCAGAGTCCACGAAGGAACAGCAAAGGGGAAATAGATGGCTGAAAGGAGGGAGCAAGTCGACCCTCTCTTAGATCGTGGAATTATGGATTTAACAGCCTCGCAGGTTGCCTCTTTGTAAGAGCTTTAGGCAGCTTTAATTAAAATTGTCAGCAATACCCATAGTTTCGTTGTGATATTCGAGAATGGATGCTTCTGTGTATTGTAGGAACAATTGGGTTAGTTTGGTAGTTCTGTGAGATATGGATTCCACAATCTTTATTAATTTACCTATCTAATGATATTGGCTTAATTAATTAAAAAACGTTTTCTCGAAACTTCAATTCAATATCACGCATTACCTTTAAATTTAAATATCTAATCATTCAGCCAAATTTAACTCAACCAGAAAAAATCACAAATATGTCGTGTAACTATCGTAAAAGTTAGAATTCCAAAATTAGCATTATTGTAATGCACGCTTCACTTTCACTCACAAATATGAAAAGCCAAAAATTAAAGTTCTATCCACTTCCTGGTCAAGATTTAGCATCGTCATTTTTTCGTTACCTTTTTACTAGCCGACTGATGGTCGAAAGGCTTGCTTGTTCCACTGGTCGAGGGAAAAGAAGTCAGCGACACGTAGAGAGTAAGGGGAAGCGAAACCTATGGAATACGAGCACGTACACCGGAAGTGGCGTTCCGAGGACGCCGAGTCGAAACGGCGAGCAAAAGGACGGGTTGAAACAAAGGATTTTGTCTAGCGTAACAAACTCGAGGCTGGGCTGGGAATTCGTGGTCAAATCGTGTACAGAAACGACCAGGTAGATTGTGGACAAGCGCGTGTGTACACGCGTGTCTTGACGAGAGGCACGGAAAGGGAAATGAGAGGAGATTCCTCTTCCTTCCCCCAACGTTTGAAGATTGATGATTCGGCTGATGAGGATTGATCGCGTGGAATAATTTGAGGGCGAACTTCAGAACCCGTGGAATCGCGAGATTTTGATCGTTTCAGCGCAGATGGTCACGCCTTTCAGAGAATTATGACTATGCGTGTTTATGCGAAATCACCTTTTTATAAGTCCAATTAAAGAAAGGGAATTTGAAATAAGATATGCATCGCCCAGTAGATATCGACAATTAATCTAAATCTGTTTCTAAAATTTCTTCTAAGAATATCAGTTTTACGTACTTACTATTGTATTATGTACCGTGCCAGTACTTTTTATAGCCACTCTACAATAGAAACAAGAATAATACCGCTATTACTAAGCTAAAAAAGGAAAAATAAGAGCAGAACACATACTCTTGAATCATACCGAGAACTCGATTTTATTCAGCACGGATACGATTCCTCGTACGCGATATTTCCCCTTAAGTATCTTTCGTTGTGGGATTTTCGTGCCAAAATGCTCATGTTAACGAGATACGCGAGCTAGTCGTGCGGTAATTAAAGATGGATTGAAAATTTAAAACACCCTGTGAAACGACATAACCGTGAAAGATAATTGCTCCAAACGTTTCAAGCATATTGCTCGAGAGGCGTTGTTCGAAATTGTACCTTCCTCCTTCTTTTTGCAACATACGTACTTACCCTGAATAGCTACGGATATCTTCCCGAGGTATTTGTGCCGAGTTCCTTGCTTCCAGGAAATTGTTCGATCGTTCGATTGAACGAATCAAGCTTTTATCTATCGATATCACTTCACCGAGACGTTTTCAGATTCACGGGAGAGAGAGAGAGAGAGAGAGAAGAAAGGTGGAAAAGAGAAGTCGAGAGTTTTCCAGAACATTCTGTGTAAGAAATGTGGAAGAAAATAATGGCCTCGTACGAAGAATAACCTGTGGTAAATTGGAATCGAACGATCGTACCAACCAACCCGTTGGAAACCAATACTTTCGTGTATATATATTATATAAACTATAATTGGACATTGCGAGAAGTCTTCTTCGAATCTACAGCTTTGTTCTCGAATCTGATGTATCTATCCGAATGAGTATGTGAAGTAATAGAAAATCTTCGCTTGAAATCTATGAAAGTGAAGCAGAAGATCGTCGATAGGTTACGCTAAATTTAAAATCGGGTGGATGGTAAATCAGTTGAATGAATTTTCTATTTCTCAGGTCAACCACCACTTCCACAATAAGTTGAAACAAATCATTATCCTCCGACTAATTGGGCTCCCCAAGACCTTTCTCCATATGAACCCAAAAGAAAACCTCGAATAGCGTAGGTCAGTAGATCAGGGTGAGACAGTTCTGCCCTGTCTCACCCTGTATCTATTCAGGTCGACGTTAGGCCTGGGCTAAATCAATTTGACGGGGTGGGAACACGTGTGGTGGCCAGAAAAGTGACGATGGACCCGCACGAAGAGCGGCTCGCGACACAGACGTGGTACGTGGTGTCGATTGTGGACGCGATCGCGACGATGCAGTGATTGAGTAGTGACCGACGGGAGGACGATGCATCACTCCGGAGGTACCGGTTACGGGACCGGGCCCCAGGAGCGAGTGCACCAGGCGCCGCGAACTACCGCCCAACCTGACAAGTGTCCCTACGAGACTTACCAGGCGCAGATACCGGACTGCTGTGCAGCTGCAGCTGCGGTCCAGGATCCATATCCACGGCCGCCCAGCGGATATGACGGCAGGTGCTACGATGAGTGCCATCGCAGGACTCCATATCAGGAGGACACCTATCCCCAGGTACGTGAAATTTTATATTTCTAACATTTTTTAGAGCTTTCCTCAAATCATAGATCCACTGGGAAGCTAAGCTAAGATAAATTATGCTATGCCGTACTATGCTAGGTTTAAAAATTTTTCCTTTAACACATACACCGCTGCACACAAATATCTGAATACATTGGTCAATTTCTATCAATAGTGTGTGAATATTATTAAACGCATAAATTAATGGTAAATTAGTGGTCAAAATTAACAGTTAACATGGTATCTTTTTGTGGAATCAGTAGATTTGTATATTCCAAAAAATCTTGATCGAGATCCATCATCTCCTTTTCTCGAATCCTATCCCAGTTCCACCTCCATAGCAATATCGCATGACTTTTTAACAATTTCAATTGCTCTTCACGTCTTTTGCCTTCTACTTTCCTAACGTGTTTCAAAGTGGAAAGCAATCTGAAGAATTTTTTCATTAAATAAATCTCTTGTTGCCATAGAAAATTACAAAATGTCGGCATGAAGATTCGATGAAATTATCGGCACTATCGTACCCTTCTCCTCTCCTCCATTGTAGCTACGTGAATATCATGTCTCGATCCTGCAGCGCGTTAATTAAATTTAATTTGGCTTGAGGCGTATGCAGGTTTCTTTAATTGGCCCGTTAGAATTGAACGAATTCGCAGCAGCGCAACGAACCCAGGTCCTCTCGATCCCAATATTTATGATTATTGTTCGTTGAAAATTAAATTTCACGGCAGCAAACTGGGGAAAAGAACGGGTTAATTAGTGCTGAGAAGGGAAACTTTAAGCCGTTGATGATTCAGCAGGTAACTTTGTTCGATAGTCTGACGCCAGCAATATGAGCCATTTCGGGCTTAACTAATTCTAAGACCTCATGTTACGAGGAGTTCGTGCAACATTAAAGAATTACATCCGACCTCACGCAGCCGACTAGTACCCCTGAAACGCTTCTAATTGGTACATTAATTCGAGCACCTGAAGCTAATTGTGGACGATTATTGTACCAGAGTGCTTGCAATCGTTGGAAATGTTATGCCCGGAACCTAAGTTTAAACGACTATATTAATATTAGATGACGCAGAAATATTAGTCACGTAAATTCTATCTTAATTTCATGCCCAGTTCTTCTCAAAACATCGTAAAGTGACAGTACAGCGATTTTCATAATCAATTAACGAAACCTATTCTTCAATTCCTGTTATCGTTGAATCAATTTACGTGTAATTCGCGAGTGGTTCGGCTTGGAGCGGCTATTGATCCCGAAAATAACTGCATCTCTACGCAACGCATTTCGTACATTTCCATTTTTTGTTCGCGCTCTAAGCGCGGTGTGCCATCTCTCTTTCAATGAATTCTCGTTCCCTTTTGAAATTCCTAGGCATGCGCGCGACCGTGTTTCTTTGATCCCTGCTTCAGCGAGCATTACTACTCGTCTACTTCGTTGCACCTAAAATTAACGATATGCGCATATTTCTTTGAGCTGGTAAATATTAACGTGGCTGCGTTTCATGGAAACGCGTCGTTACCTTAAACTATTCTCGCTGCTACATACTCCCCTGCTGTCCCCGTCCTCGCGCAGCTTGCATTTCAACCAAGTGACGGTTGTTAATGAACAAAAAGGTTTTGTCCTGAAATTATGACTCCCAGGAACGAATTATACAAGGTTATCTTTCCTGTTGTTCGTGGAAGATAAATATGCATGTCTACTTTTCTCTATCTAATATGGAAATTTTTTCTGAATATTTAAACTATTATATTTTACATTGACTATTGCTTCTTTGTATCTAAGCATCTTTCAGTATCGTTTATTTTAGATATTGAAAACTTGAATTCATAGGCATATATTCTTTGTCTATAACACATTAGGTTATACATAGTTGAAGTGTGTATTGAAATTAGGAAAGAAAAGGCCACTTCTGACGTTATTCATAGTTGAGTAGTCTCGAGAGGTCAATTGATTTTGGACATAGAATAACATAGGCTATGTATATTCCTCAAATATTTTTACTTGTTTTAACCAATACACGATATATCGGGAATATCAGGCTATTGAATGTTTTATTTATAGCTGTTTGAGTACCATATATAAAATATTTTATCTGTTATACGTTTGAAGTAAAATTAATAATCAAAAGTAGTAATCACCATCTTCTTCTATAAAATCAATAAATAAGAAATTTTAATTATTTGCATAAATATCGCCAGTAAAATTAAAAATTTAAAACACGATTCATCGATATGTCTATTATATATAAATAGTTTCCAATATTAACTGTCACTATTTTTGAATAGTAATATTTATATAATGTGTTTGCGTGTCAATATTTCTCAAAATTGGACTAGATTTTTATTAAAACTTTCGTTTGAAACGACAAAAATAAACATTTCATTGATATATGAAAAATATATATTGAAAAAATAGGTAAATATATATAGAATGTATTTCTTATATTAAAAGAAACGAAATCGAAGACCAAGAGTGCTTACTGTGAAACAAACGCGATAATATCTCATTTTATTGGAAACAGATACTCATCTGCAGCTGTTTTGTACCTATTCTAAAATTTTCAAACGAAAGGAATCACAATCTTCCCTACTCTTTCCCTTCACGACTCAGTTGTTAGCTGAAGTGCTACCGCTACATCCAATATCAGAATATTTGTTACTATCAACAATATTCGTCGCGAACGTTATTTCAATAACGATTCGAAAAAAAGAGATTTCAAAAGGGAGTGAAAAAAAATCGCTATTTTCCATAGCCTTCCATTTCACGACCCGATTGTTAAGTGAAGTGTATCACTACGTTCAACGGTAGAGAGATTTGTTACTGACAATAGCGATCGTTACGAACTTTACTGACATGTTTCAATTCGTGTTTCAACTTTGAGAATTCGATTGACAGCGTAGATGTTTAAATTACCTTCGAGTTACTTCGATTCCTTCCATTTTATGACTTCCTCTTATAGGACTTTTCGTAGAACTTTGTATTTCTTTTCTTACAAAGTATTAGGTGGAATCAACTTAGTTGAAATTAAATGCAAGAACATTTCTCGCAAGAAATTGTTCAGATGAACCTTAGCGGATTTGATTCGGCTTTACAAGTACATATTGAACTTGCTCCTGCCACTAATTACGACTATCTTCTTTCTCAATCCGATTATCTATTAAATGCTAAAACGCTATAGAACACGTGTCATTAACGACGACCATCATCGCGAACTGTAATAACATTATTTCATAGATCGCCATTTACAACAATACAAAGCGTCGAGGAGCAACGTGTGTTCATCAGGTGGAAAGTGGAGCTTTCATGCAGAAATCGCGAGGTTTGCCACGGTTCGACTGAACCTCGAATTCAGCGTCGAATCTTCCGGCGGCCATTATGGCTTTTCGGTTACCGAAAATTGATTCGACGGGCCGGCATGCATGCTTCAAGTTCGAACTTTTGCCGTACGTATATTTGGCCGGTATCGATTTGGCCCAGTTTCCCCGTTCCGCGTTTCCTCGCCATATTTTAGGAATTCAGGCAACGCGCGCTTGAGCCGAGAGAAAAGCGGTCCCGGGAAATGTTACCGTTCGAAATAAATCAACGTTTATTCTTCGGCAATAAGCCTGGGAATGCAGCCACCTGTCCCAAACTCGTCCTCTATTGCTATTCGATGCAATTTCGATGCGTAATACGCGTGTGGAACGCATCACATACACACCACCTTTCCCTACTTCTGTCTTTCTTCGTCTCTCTTTCCTTTATTTGTCTTTTCTTTTTAATCTTTACATTATCTTTCAAAACATCCAAATATTTCGAGTATTAAGCGGCAATTACTTACCAGTACCTGATAGTATTTTATAAATTACACATTCCAGAGATCCCACGATTAATCCTCAATTAATCTTTGAAATAATATTGCGATATTTCCTAAAGCTGATTTCACAAGCCGGCCATGCAGTTCGAATTAAAAGCTTGGAAATACATTACCATCTCTCGTGAAACAATGGACGTAACGATTCTCGATAGTTGTAACGTTACGAGATTCAACCATAGAGAGGGAATATCGATGGCGAAAGAGTCGCGAGAGATCGATAATGTTTCTCTCAAGTGTTTTATTGTCAGTCGGTGTTAAAGCAGACGGTCATCGAACCGATTCCCCTTTTTTCTTCGTCGTCGTCTCTTCGCTGTTACTCTTAAAAGCTATTTTCCAAAGAGGAAACGGGCTACCTTCATCTTGGCAAATGAGAAATCGATGCGTCATTATGACGTTTAAGGGAAATGGACACGCGAAATGGAAATTATTACTTCCCACACGTGCAGAGATTAAATTTTGCTTCTGTTCGTTTGATGTATATCTTATTGCGGTATAATAATTGTATCGATATCTGTATCAATAACTAGTTTTCCCCCACTATCTTTCTCTCTTTTAGTTTCAATTTTTCATCTTCAAAATGATAGCAAAACCTTCGATCATCTGACGCAAATAATGGAATATAATAATAGAATAGTGAATCGATTCAGTACACATCAGATAACCATTGAACACGAGAGCAATTAATTACATTTAGCCGGTAATTATCGAAATTGCTAATTATATGTCTATTTCCTATCATAGTCTCTAACATAATTGCGATATTAATTTCAAAAATTTTCTCTTATTAAGTCACAAATGTATCGCAATTCACGTGAAAAATTTTATTAGGAACTATGTTTTATTTATTAGAAATTATTAGAAATTATGTCTCATAAAATCGCAAATCTCAGCATTATTTCTCGATATCTTTCAATAATACGTATGCGATTTTTACACTTAAATACTTATAATACTTATCGGTAAAACTATCAAGTTTCAAGCGTAAAAATACATAAGAAACGAATAGTGTAAAATAAGATAGAAACTTTTGTCAAGAATACGTTCATCGACATCCGTGGTAGACTTCCAAGAAACAAAGCCTGGCTAAAAATTCCCTGTGGAGAATGCTGTTTCGTCGTTTACGGATTGAGACCATTT